CATCCGCGAAAGCCACTATAGTGGCGCATCGTGTCTAAGAGATTAAGATTCTTGATTGGTTTTTTTTTATGTTAATATGATCTAGGATTCTGAGGAATTGAAAACAAGACCAATAAGAGGAATAGAAGATGCTGACATTAAAATTCACCAAATAAAGAAGTAATTCATTGAATCAACAAAAGATCTTAAAAATAAAAAATTAATGAAAAATCACAAAAAACGGCAACACTGTGTTCTGTGTCTTAAATGAAAAACATCCTTATCACAAGCGATCAGGGCCCAATATTTCCGGTTTTGATTAGTGACCGCTCAGTCAATCATCAAGTGAAACTTGCGCTTCTCTGATAATATAACTGTAGTTATAAGCCAATTAGAGAATTGCATTAATCTCAAGACATTATTTAAGAAAGTCTTAAAATAAGAATAACCTATGATTACTGCCTTATGTTTTTTATATGTAGGAATTTCTTAAATTAAAAAAATTTTTTTGAAATATCACAATTGTGATTAAGCATTTCAGAAATGACCTTCCCTCCATGGATTCGCCAGAGGCTTAATAATAGAAGATTCCCTAAAATGAAATTGATGAAATGAGATTGAATGGTACAATGATAAATTGTCAGATCATCTTTGACACATATATTCGTCTTTGTTCACAGACGCTTAAAGAGCGTGCAGCAGAGATTACAGCGCAGAAAGAGGCGTTCGCCATACAGAAGAGGATCGCTGACAACGAGTGCTCTGAGCTGCGTACTGCTATTACTGATAGAAAAAGCAGGATACGGCAGTTGCAGATGCGATATGACAACAGCGTCGCGACAATAGGTACTACTGTGGATGGGGCGCCGATGAACACTGCATACTTAAAGATACAAAGTGCTCAAGAGCGGTACATGCTGCGAGAACAAGGCGACAAATTAGACGAAACAATCAGACGAACAGAGCAGGAAATACGTAGCATGGAAAATACATTGCGTGTAGTAAACGTATGTAACGACAAATATAGGGACAGCATGAGCACAGTTGATCAGGACGGACCTGAATGGACGGAACAAAACAGACTCGATGAGCAGATGCATAATGCACGACAGAAGCTATTGCAAAAACAAACACAACTGCAACGATTGTTTGATAAATTACAGGTATTTTCGTGTACATATCCTATCAATACCAATTAAAATTAATATGTAACACTGTTACATTACATTGTTGAATGCAAAATTTTAACATTGATATTACGTTAATTTGTGTTGACTTTTAATTTATATCGATTTGATAGGAGAGTTTTTCGTATTTATCAAAAAATTGATATAATTAAAGCAACATAAAATAGTATAGGATAGTAAAAAATAAAAACTATATGCGTTTGTACACAAACAGATGACAGCAACAGAAAGATCTAAAAAGTAAAAAGTACGATAAAATTATTTTTATTTGTTTAGTTATATATTATTTTTATAGCATAAAAAGATCTATATTTTTCTATTGCAAATAATCCATGTATTAAATGTTTAACTCGTGCAAAATATAAAATTAACCATAATGGAGTAAATTTAATTGATAGTAATAAAATATAGAAAATTAATATTTCAATTTTATCGGGTAGAAAACGCAGAATGATTATACTCAATTGTTCAACGATATCGAAAAAAGCAAAGAAGAAAAGGAAAATAAAGAACGTTACTTATCAGGTATTGAGAAACAAATGGCAGATCAAGAAGAGAAGATATCCAGAGCCAATAAGAGCCTTCGTAAGGTACAGAAGGATATAAATTTATATGTTTCTAAAAGGGACGATGCTGTGCTTCTGCAGCAGGTAGGTAATGATGAAGATCTGCTATTAAATTATGCCTTTAGTCGATTTTATTTCGAGATGCTTTCCTGCAGAGAGAAGTGGAATTGCGAGAGCTTCAAGAACAAAACGCCTTAGTTCTTCAAGATATCGCGGAGTTCACGATTCGTCATGTAGAAGCTGAAGCGTATGTTAAGAAATTGCTGATAACTAAGAACATTGAGTTACCATATTTTCCTTCATCGATTAAATCGCCTAGTTCCACAGGCACGATAGATCATTTGAAGAGTACGAGTCGCATAAGTGCTTTTACATCATCAAGGGAGAGTATCAGTAGCGTAATTAAAATAGAGCCGCAATTTGAGGAACGTACGTACATTAAGAAAGTACTATTATGATATCTCTTTAGAGGATGCTGGAGTGACGGCCGAACTTGATCGCTGTCGATAGTACAGATTTTTTAAAATTTCAAATAAAAAAGTCAATAATAGTGATATCTTTAATTCATTTCTTTATTTGTCTCACTCAAACGCATACATCTATCCATAATTAACATATTGCAATGCTATTTCTTGCAAGATTGAATATTGTTAAACACAATTATTGCTGTTTATCATTCCGAGTCTTCGCTCATCGTTCATATACGTAATTTACAGATCAATAGAAATCTTTCTTTTTAAACTTTTAATCTTAATTTTATAAACTCAGTATCATTTGCATGTAAAACGTTGGGTGCTGAAATGTCGTTTTGATTCACATGAGCTAAGACTTTTGTATTAAGGAAAGATCTACGTCAGGTGACAGTTTTATGAATTGAAAAATGTATTGTATGTTTTTAACTTTTTTTTATTTTAATATAAAGTTTACTGCAATACCTCCCACAATTTTGCGTCTACTTTAATTTTATAAAAAGATTTTTGATTCCGTTCAGTAAATTCGAAGATCTACAATATCGATCTACAATGTTCCGATAATTTAGTCACTACAGCATCCCTTTAAATATCTTCATGTTTTATTTAGAACTATATCATCAAAGCAATTGGGAACTAAAAAGAACATTTTTATTGATTTCTGATGATTGATTTTTTAAAACGTTGAATTTTCAAATTATTAAAATCATTTAAATCTTAATAACAATTATTAATTCGTATTTTATTTGATTTTAACAGCGAGTAACGCATCGAGGAAAACTGCAAAGCATCCCACATCTGAAGAATCGCTTGCTTTGTCAAAGCGATCCACTATTGCACACAAAAAGCAACAATTATGGAAAAAATTATAATAATAATTTCGATAATATAATAATTCAAATTGGGCATTTATATGTTAGTTCGATATTAGCTAAAATAAATGTAACGCATGGAAAAAGTCTGGTTACATTAATTAAAATTTTGATTGAAAATGAACAAAATTTTTTTATTTGAATCTATTATAATTTTATTTGATACAATCAGTATTCTGCTTGATATAATCAAAATCTTTTGATTCGTCCATTTTCAATCAGAAATTTTTATTAATATGGTATTACGTAACAGTTATCAAGGTTGAGCATTAAGTTTTTTTTTAAACTAAATTTTAAGTTAAAAAGTTAAAGTTAATTTATAAAATTAATTTACTTAAGTTAAAAATTGAATGAACAAAAAATTATTTAGTTAATGTTACGTTAAGGTTCTTGAGTAGTTGCTGCGACCATGTTTGAATCGTGACGCCATAAGCGAGAAATGACAATGTTACAATAATTTATGTTACGTATCATTTGTAAAGACAATTTGGATAAATTAAAATAATCAGATCGCTTAAAATTTATAAAAATGGACGATAACTGTCTTTTCCTCTCTTGAGTCAGTAAATGGTCATAAAAACACGTAAATTGAGCCTCTATTCGGGAAAGAAAACACACGATTTGTTGTTGAAACGAGTGAAAAATACATTTTTACTTATAAAATTTCAAGATAATTTTAGTTTTTGTCCATTTTTACGATTTTGATAAGTAGTATGAGACATTTTCATAATTAAGCACATAATAACAAAATAGCACGTAACATTAAATTTTGTTAAACTTTTCTATGGCGCTACAGAAAAGTGTCGCGTAGAGTCCCTATAAAAGGTTGCGTACAATGAAGAAATTGAAACAGAGAATAAAAAAAAATGGAACAGGAATAGAGAATAAGAATAAAGAAAAAAATGAAACAAATTGGAACAGGAATAGAGAATAAGAATTTCAACTTATCAGAAACTGTGTAT